TGGATTTTCAGTTCTGTCTGACAAACTGAATTATTCTTGCTCAGGTGAAGGATGGAGAATTTATTTCTGTACTAATAGAAAATGGATTTTAGAAAAGGTGATTGATTTTTATTTATATTTTTACACTAGATCTGTATAAGTAATAATCAGTTTAATGGCATTTCACAATGTGTATAAAGAACAGGCCAAAGTTATTTACCCTGCACAAAAATGTACAATGCTCACTAAAAACTAGTGGATTGCAGAATGGCTGTCACGAAACCCTAAAGGAAAACTGATCCACACACCCCATCCCCACGAACATGGTGTGCATATTTGGTCCAGGCACCCCCATCCCTGCAAGAGCAATTCAGCAGCCAAGTGCCGAGCACCTGTTTGGGGTAGATGTAGAGGGAGATTGTCAGTCTGATTGCCTGGCAGCTGAAAGATGCTAATTTCCCTTCTCCCCTGGACGACCAGGCCAGAATTGACACAAAAAGACTGATCTGGTGAGTAGCTAAAGTATAAAGCAGCCAGACCACATTCACCAGATCATCTTTCATCTGAAATAAAATACAGATTACCCTTCCCATGGCTGCTCTCACTTAGGGCTTTTTCACATGAGGAATATGGCCAGCTGCTGTATGGAGGCTTTGTCTTCCATTTTGTAGCAGAGGAAAAATGAATCCTGCACACAAGGCTTTTCCAGGATCTTATATTTTCTGCCCTTCTACAGCATCCTCTGATGTCTGTGTCCTCCTGCAAAATGAGTGGCAATTGTCTTCTCACTGCTGTTCTGCGGGAACATTGTGCTTATTGTTGTCTCTTGTTATCATTAGGGTAGACTTCCCCAACCAGGAGTCCCTCAGATGTTCTGGGATGCAAGTCCTAACATCTCCCAGGCAGGTGCAAACAGTAACCCAAAACATCTGGAGGGTTGCAGGTTGGGGAAGGCAAGTTTAAGAGACAATGGTGGAATTTTACTATGTTTGGAAATATAGGGAGCCAAGGCAGGGAGTAAAATAAAAGGTGTCTACTGCAGTGATAGGCAGAAGGCAGATCTCCAGACAGTTTGGATTTCGATTTTCAGTCTGGTCAATGGTCAGGGATGCTGGGAACTGAAGTCCAAAATCTGAAGATCCACCAGCTTTTCATCCCTAGTCTACAGGATAGGCCCCTGCCTAAATTGTAAATAACAACAAAGAAGCTAAATGACTGACATGAAACTGCAATTTCAGTATAAATGAGAATCTAAATCACATCACCCCAGAGACCTAAGGAGAAAGACAAATGCTCATTAAAGAAAACCTGGTTTAGGCAGCAGCAATGGACCATTTAAAATGCTAAAGTAAAATTGATTTCTTTATCAGGCTCAATAGAGAAACTGCAGGAAATGAACAAAGGCCCTCCCAGCTCACAATGGGGAATTAAAGCTAGCAAAACAAGCCATCCACAGCTGTGAATAAGTTTGTCCACAGATGCTATTTAGACGGATTTCCTCCCCCCAGAATATTCACCATTGCCCTATTGTGTGGAGCCATTTCTGCATGCTACACTTGATAGCCTGTGCTCAGTGGTGATTAAATCAGCAGGGTTTTTATCTTTATCACAGGATACATTAAATGGATTTTGTTATATTGCTGCAAGCTCTGTGGCGGCTGATGGAGGTATTTTAATAAAGATTTAGGAAGCTTCATATTTCCCCCTTGGCATGTTGTTAGATTCCATTTGGCTACTGTGTACACACCAGCAGCACTGCTTTTTACAGAAAGTCACACATGCAAAATGTTTGTCCTGCAGAAGAACTAAAGAATGGTCGATATCACGCTGATGCACTGTGGCAGCGGTGGAGCGAACTGATGGTGGGAATCCAAAAATAATAGCTGAGTCATACCTTCCATCAGACCAACTATGATATTCCCAAGCCGTGAGCAAGCTTTTGAGATTCCTGGAAACTGTCTGAGCACAGTATTCTTCTAGCATGTTCAGGTGGAGCCCACAGGGGCTGAACACCATAAAGAGGCTTGTTTACAGAACAGTTGATTTCTTGGCGAGTTGATTAAGAAGCATGAAGGGCCACTGCTTCTCTGAGTATTATGTGTCTTGGAGATACATGACTTTTATCAGCTAGGAATACTTGGGCAAGAGTCTAGAATCTAGACTCTACCTCGACCCCAACCTGGTACACCTCTGGACGTTTTGGAATTCCATTCCCATCAGCCTGGTGTGGCCAATTGTTAGGAATATTAGGAGACGTAGTCCAAATCATCCAGAGGGCACCAGGTCAGGGAAAGCTTCTGTAGATATCACAAGCTAAATGTATAACTTGGGTGTGTAAGTAAAGAACCTTTCTGGCTTCAGGCACTCTCGTTTCCTCTCATAGAAGATAGAATTGGACTGGGCTGAGAAGGTGATCAGGTCCAACCTCTTGACCAGTGCAGGACCAAGGTTACACCATCCCGCTCAGATGGCTGTCCAGTTGCATCCTGAATGCCTCTAGTGTGGGAGAGCCCACAGCCTCCCTAGGTCATTGGTTCTGTTGTTATACTGCTCTAACAGTCAGAAAGTTTTTCCAGATATCCAGCTGAAATCTGGCTTCCTGTAACTTGAGCCCAGTATTCCATGCCTTGCACTCTGGGACAATCGAGAAGAGATCCTGGCCTTCCTTTTTGAGACAGCCTTTCCAGTACTTGCAGAGTGTTGTGATCTCTCTCACCAGCCTTCTCTTCTCAAGGATAAACATGCTCAGTTCTTTCCATCTCTCCTCACAGGGCTTTGTTTCCAGTCCCTGTATCATCTCTGTACCCACCTCTGGACCCTTTCCAGCTAGCCTCCTCCTTAAAGAGTCCCTCCACAGAACTCAGGTATTTGCTCATACTCATGGATAAAACACCATTCTTTAATCCACAAAATCACATTCCTCCTCGAATATTTATGCCTTATTGGGACACAGCACCATTCTAGAGATATTAAAGACATAAACCTATGCATGGTTAGGCAGGAAAAATTTCTGCAAGTCCCAGCCTTGCCACAGGCTTGTGCCCTGAGGAGTGCAGATTTCTTTAATATGTGATCAAATGTGGGTCATCATATGTGCAGGGTGGGAAAACACAGGGTGGAGAAGTGGTGAGTTAGAAGGAGGTGCTGAACCCCCCCTCCACAAAAAAAAAAAAAGTCTCTCACCTCACACAATAACTTTTCTCCCAGAAGCCAGCAGTGGGTAAAGATTTGAAGAGGAAAAGAGCAGGCAGCAAAGAGTTTAGAAACCCTTCCCACCAACCTTTTCTCTGCATGCAACTCCCGCTTGTATCCTGTGCTTCCTTTATCTAATCCACAGCAATATGCATTCTGACATAAGGATCTGCCAACCTGTAGTCTCCTGGACCTGACATTTAGCTACTTCTAGAGAACTGAAGATCTCAGCTGCTCCTTTTTCTGTTTCCAAATGGAACCTACAGTTTGGAGTTGTGCTTATTTGGAGGACCAGAACTTGCTCATTCCTGTACGAAAGAGATAGTGGCTGCTTGTGAGTTTTGAGCCGCCCCTTGAAGACCAAGGAGTTTCTGCTATGCTGTGATTTTATTACTGTTATATCTATTATTAATATTACTTATTTTATTATGGATTTGCTGTTTTATAATACTTGTAAACTGCCCTGACAGCCATTCTGGCTAAGGGGGAAGGACAGAAATCCAATAAATAAATAAGCAAACCTACTTTTGGGTTTTCCTTTCATTGCCCCTTTGAGGCCTCTTTGTGTCTGGAATGGCTTGTTTCCTAATCGAATTAAGCATCTGCCCAAATAACTTGCTTGACATCCAAGCAATTTTTCATTTGTTGGCTGAAATAAAAGGTGATTGCCTCCCTTACTCTGAATTTTTAGTTCTAAATGCTGTTTCTATTATTTCATAATCACCAGCACCATCTGCTGAGTGAAACCATGAAAGACACCTCCCACATGCATCTTTTTGGCAAATGTAATCCAGTATCATGAACAGTATTCACTGTAATGGCTGGCAGGTTCTGAATGCAGCTGGAAATGTTTTTGTTTTCCTTTAATCACTGCCTACCCATTTCTCTTTTTAAAAGATCCAAGCTTTAATTTAGAGGAATCAGAGGTGTGATAAGCAAACCATTTTGGTGAAAGTCTAGAATGAAAAGTTCAAATGATTCTTTTTGGTGCATTGCTGTAAGAAAGAACATGCTTGAGTACATTCCTAGCACATTTATTATTATTATTATTATTATTATTATTATTATTATTATTATTCATTTCATTTCATTTCATTTCATTTCATTTCATTTCATTTCATTTCATTTCAATACTGTCCTGTAGTTGAAGCTTTCTGGGTTTACTGACCCTTCTGCTGACTCACAGATGGTCTTTGGCAACTATCAGGCTGCAATCTTACAATACACTCGTTTGAGAGTAAGCCCTTTGGAGTGCAACAAGACTTCCCAGAAAATATGCACCGGCTTGCATTGTCAACCTCAGATGCCCAAGTATAAAATGGCAGTCAACGACCATCCCATACAAAGCTATTGTGCAGGTGGATGGTAAAAAGAGAGGATGGCACCTCTCACCATATCACCTATAACCTTTATTATGCAATGCATTATTCCTTGCCAAGACTCAGAGAGCAGTAAAAAGATCACCAAGCTGGGAATTTATTTATTTATATTTATTTAGAATATTTTCCTGTCCTATACAATCCAATTGTCTCAGGATGGCTTACAATATAATATAAACAATAAATACAAACAATCAATGTCTATAATAACAAAATAAAATGTGACTGAGAATATTAATATTAATGGAATGGAATGCTCCTGCTTTTCTTTTGCATGGAATGCCTAGAAAAGCTAAAGCCATCTCCTGCAAACCCCAGCATTCCCAATTATTGGCCTTGCTGGCTGGAGTCCACAGCATCTGGAGGCCACCAGGTGGGGGAAGGCTGGGCTGAAGCCTGCCCTGCATGAACTGCCTAAGCACAGGGTGCAAAGTGAAGAGGACTCACACCCCAGAGGATTTTGTAGCACACAAAATTCTTCCTTTCTTTGACTTTTTTCCTGTAACAGCTTCCAAGACAGGCTAATGGAATAAAAAATAAAGCAAGTATACTAACAAAATATTAACAGGGATAAACATTGTAATCCTAAAAGTATAAACAGTGGAGAAAACCTAACTGCAATAAAATCCTCACAGTTCAGTATTTGATTAGTGCTGAAAAGTTAGCAGGGTAGGTCCTTACCAAGCGTCTTGTAGCAAACAATCCCATAAAAGGAGGACATGACAGAGAGAGTCCCTGGAATGTAGGGGGGGGGGGGGGGCTTTCAATTTTCTCAGGATGGTTGACCTTTGAAGATGGGAAACCAGACAATTTTACTTTTTGAAATGCCTAACTTTTCTAACTGAAGAAGGTAGATGGGACATGTGAGGTTCTCTAGATGAGGAACATATCAGATGGTTGTGCTTTTGGTAACTGGGATTTTAAATACCGTTTTTGCTGGAGAATAAATTAAATTGCATACCCCTTTTAAAGCCTGCTTAGGGTATGGAAGTGCCTGGCGATAACCTTGAGAAATGGTGTTTCCTCGGAATATGCTGTAATATGCATAGAAATCTCGGAAAGCATGGCAGCTGATCAGATGCATGCTGGCATGGGCTATTAGTCTCATACAGAGAACATGATCAACGGATGGTCTCCTAAGACATGGAGTGAGCACACTGTGGCATGCAATGTTAGGGAGTCAGTTGATGAAAGGAGGGGAATGGAGGGCAAGGTTGTCATGTGCTGGCAAGTCATCTCTGATTTGTGGTGATTCTACAAATGGCAGTTCTCTGAAATATCCTGTCCCTGACAGCCCTGCTCAGCTCTTGTGAGCTCAAGGTTATAGTTTCCTTTATGGAGTCCGTCCATCTCATGGTTGGTTCTCCTCTCCTTCTACTTTCAACTTTCCCTAGTATGATTGTCTTCTCCAGTGACTCCTGCCCAAAGTATGACAGCTTCGGTTTTAGCATTCTTGCTTCTAGGGGAAGTTCTGGCTTGAAAGGGCATGGTAAAAAAGAGAAGACATTACCTTACTTAAATTCATCATAGTGAGTTTAGAGTTTTGGGGATAACTCCCATTTGGTTGAAAAAAGGCTCTCTAGTCCCTGTGTTATGTTGAGATGTTTCAGTAGCATCTTTTCCACTCTCCAGGGCATTGGCATCCTTGCTATATAACAACAAAATGCACCTGTTTAGGACACAGACTCAAACCTTTGTCATTTCTCCCGTTAGCCACTTACCTGCAAAAAAAAGGGGGGGGGATTTCAGAGGTCCTGCTCCAGGCTGACTGGAACTCTGAAAAGGACCACTGTGCTCAGATCTGCAATTATAATTCTGTTGCCTGTTTGCAAAGATTCTTTGGGTGTGGATGGCATTTTCTCCCACTAAAAACCCAGTGGCTGGACTCAGAGAGAAGACCTCTGAGTATTACTTATGGTTTTAATAGAAAGCAGAGCTCTCATTCTTTCCCAGAGCAGCAGGCATTAGTCTGATGCAGCAAAAACCACAGTATCTTGCAGCACCTTAAAGCCTATCAAATATCTTCTTGCATAAGCATGTATGGACATGCTCCATTTCTTCAGATGCATGAAATATTAACCTCAAATTGTCGGATCCAATATACACAGGCCCAATGGGGGAGTATAAACTATATTGTCAGAGGGAAATGAAATGCAAAAAACGCAGAGAACTGAACATTATATTAACGATTATCTGTGTTATCAAACATCCAAGTTTTAGGAGTGGCATTGCATGTAAGTAGTGTGCTTTAAAATAGAACAAATGGTGATGGGTGACCTTAATCATTTAAATCACTTGAGGATGTGTATTCCCTAATTTCTTCTCTTTCTTTCAAATTCCTTTAAGAATGGTCAAAAGAATGTCAAAGACAGATGTCAACATAAAACAACAGAGTAGGGATTCAGCCTTATAGAATGAATAAGGAGAAAAGTGGTAGTTTTATTGCCCTACAGATGTTAATCGACTCACCATTGCAAAGATGTCTGTATTATCAACCTACAAGGTTTTGTAAATGGCAGTTGCTTAGTAGCCATCACAAGCTTTCATTTCAGTGACCTCTGGCCACATTGTTTTCGCCCCTCAACTTGTACATGAATCTGCCAATTTGAGGTTAATTCTTTCATGCAACGGATAGAATGAAAATCATGCGCCTGACACAATTGCAATAAATGAACTCCTTTTACAGCAAGCGTTCTTATCCCTGGAGCCAGTTTTCCAACACATTTAAACCCATAAACTCTGGCAAACCATATTAATCTAGTTCAATCATGCGCAAGAAAGCCGAAGTTTTATGACACATGCCGCTTGCCGTACCACCCTAGGAAGGGAGTACCTGGCGGAGGGAGCCCGCACGTGTAGGATGAATGAAAAGCCGGGGGGGGGGGGGGGGGGGGGGGGGCCCCCGGGGGGGGGGAGAATGAAAAGGGGGGGGGGGGGGGGAAGAGACGGCTGCTCGACGTTGGCGCATAATTACGACGAAGACGGCAAGGCGTATAGTAAAAGCTCTGGCAAGGGAAAATGGGGGCGGAGGGCAGGAGGTGACCACGTGACTAAGAGAACCGTGCACAGGTTCGATTTCGGGCTCCGCGTAGGCAGGACCGTCTTGATCGGCAGCCAATGGTCAATGCGTAAAATACCTGAGCGAGTGGGCGGGGCCTAGGGCTTTTTGGAAGGCGCCGCGCGCCCGTGCTCTCTTCCGTGCTCCTCAGCCGCACGCCGGTTAGCTGGAGCGTCAGGATCCGTCGGCCGCTCCTCGCCTCACCCGCACCCCCCCTCCTTTTCCACACGCACGCGTCTTCCTGCTTCCTTTCCGGCTCCTCCTGCGCGTGCGCGTGGCTGCGGCGCTCTTCCAGGCTTCCCCCGCGCCGCGGAAGGTGGGTGAGTGCGGTGCGTCGCAAGGGCGCGTGCGGTGGCGGCGGCGTCTGCGCTCCCTCCAGCCGTTGGAGGGAGGGGGGTGCACGTGCGCGTGAACGGCGCCCGACTCTCCTAGGCCGGTGAGGGAGCGGGCCGGGCCGGGCCGGGCCCGGCCAACTCGGGAGGGCCATGAAGTGCCGCCCCTCGGGCCCGTCGCCTCCAGCTCCCTGCGTCTCCTGCCGTTCCACGAGGCGGCCGGGTGGGCCCCGTCTAAGCCTAGTCATGGGAGGCGCGCCCCTTCGCGGCGCTTGTAAGCTCGGGGTCTTTCCAGCGTTCCTACTTCAACCTCGCGTCCTCCAGATGGGTGGGACTCCAATGCCCATCACCCCAGCATGTGGCTGGGGCAGATGAGCATTGTAGCCCCACCCATCAGGAGGATGCCAGGTTGTGGGGGGGCACTTCCTTCGTAGCTCGGCGATTTTCCTTGGAGCTCAAGGTGGTATGTGGATGGAGAGCTTAGGACCTGCGTAGCTTGTTGTAAAGCCGCCGTATCATGTGCCCAGTTTGCTCCGTTTGTCCCCTTTCCTCCCCGAGTGTGAGAAATTCTTGAATAGGAGATTTTCCTTGCGAGGCTGTCGTGTGCTCTGCCTGCCAGAGCTGCTTCCTGTGCATGAGCCCCCAAAGATGTTGGAATGTGCGTCTCTTTACTTCACTGCTTCTCCCCGTCTGGAGGATGGGTAGGACACAGCTCAGTCCAGCAGTGCCCAAATTGCTCTGCTGTTGATGCACGATCTACATTTGTATGCCCCCATGATGTTGGCACGTTGGCCCTCCCAATGCAGTTCATGCCCTACTAAAATAAACAGTCCTTTAAGATGTAGTATAGTGTAGCATATAAATTACAAGCCAAATGAAAGCAACTGGTGTTATAGCACTCAGTTCTCTGTGTATTTAGAAGACCATTATTACATCTTTAAGAAACCCACCCCCTTGCTGGTCTACCCACAGGTCCAGTGGTCTGTGCAGCATGCTGATCGCCATTAGTGGGCACTCAAAGGTATCTGAGAAGCTTGCAAACATAAGGCAAGGTTGCCTTTTCATTAGTCTAAAATTTAGGGGCCTGCAGCCTTTGAACATCCAGGTTCAACTTTAGTTACCTCCACTAGTACTTAGTATTTATTATATTTATATCCTGCCTTTTTTTTCCTTCCCAGGAACTTTAGGCAGCTTACATAATTCCCCTCCTCTTAACCTTATCCTCACAACACTTTGTGAGGTAGTCTGGACTGAGAATCTGTCCTGGTTCAAAGTCATCAAGTTAGTTCATGGCTGAGTGGGGACTAGAACCTCAATCATTTGAGTCCCAGTCTCACATTCTTAACCAGTATACTGCACTAGCTTATTCTCCATGAATGCCTGCCTCTTCTTACACCCCTCCACTAAAAAGTCATTGGGCATTCATTCTAGGCACCCGAAAAAATGCCTCTTATGCTAAAGCAAGCAGGCACAGAGGAAGTCAAGTTGTCTGTATTTCAGGACATGTAGGAGATTGTGATTCAGGAGGGTGAAAGCCATGCCTCCTAACCTTCCATTCTTCATGTGAAATTTAATTTAAATTTAAATGTGACTGTTACAAAACAGCCCTGGTTTGCTTTTATGTATGGCCCAAGCTGATGTTTCCCTTATCTGCCCACTCATGGCATACTCTTTCTGTTTCTAGGCAGTGATGAATTAAATTTCTGCGAGATCAGCAAAGGATAAATAGAAGATCTGTTTCAGCTGCCAAAACTGAGCTAGTTATTGCTTTTGATTGGTCACTGTATGATCAGAATGCTGGATTAGATTTGTTATTGACAGTCATTCAGCATATTTCTTATGGCCAGACTTCAATAACATTGTTCCAGTCTGGCCTAGCTTTTGCTGATCTATATAAACCCTAATGAACATATCTGCTGTTAACATCCTGGATTAGTTTAACTTTTGACCTTCCCTACTCCCATTTTTCACTCTTTTCTCTTTCTGGTATTCTCTTTCTGGTATGAAGAGATGTGACTGAAATAGTATGAAACAGCTGGTTTTTTTCATTTTTAATGCATAGTTTAGGGAGGATGTAGCCCTAAAAAGTACCTTTAAAAATTATAAATAATTTATCTGTGGGAACTACTCTTGAATGAGAAGCTTTCCAAGTTGCTGCTGTTGCAGTGTTATGGAAATCCCCATTCCCTTCTAGGTTAGCTGTATTGTGCAGCAAACATACCAGGAGAAATGTAGCTCCACTGTTCAATAGCTCTGCTATCATGCTATGCAATCTGACTGATGTGTGGGAAGCAGGTTACAGATGTCACTACTGCAGTGTGACACTCTACCAAATAGGAACTGGCAGTAGGTTACTGTAGGCAGTGACCAGGTTGTGTTTGATGCCTAAGAACCTAGGTTTATAGCAGTTCAATCTTCTGCCATACCACTGGAATTCTAAGTCACAGCTTGAGAAACTTGAGTTTATAAACCACTTGGAAGTTTTGTGCTCCTTTTCATCACTGTTGCCTGCAACTTTCCTTCCTTTTATTCTCCTCTCCAGTGCTTGCCTTTTTAAAACCCATTGATTTAACCATTAAATGGGATTTGGACTATCTGACAATAGTAACCTATTGCTCTTGCTACAGGGTGTTACAGTCTTGGACTAGTATTTTAGGATGTGTGTTTGCAGTAACCTAATATAGATCAGCTATTCCATATCATTACCCTGCTATTTTTACAGTGATGGTGATAATGTGGAACTGTTCTATGCTAGATGGAGTAAAATACTTGCTGTAATAGTGATTGCTCAAGTTGTGCTTTTGTGTAAAACATCCTATAAAGATTGTACTTAGATGAAATAATCATCTTATAGAATTGATGGATGAAATTTAAGAATGAAATGACTGAGAATTGTCTGCTTTATAGTGTTTGCTAGAATACACGTCATACTATGGCTGATGAAGTGGACTTCACCACTGGAGATGCTGGAGCTTCTGCCACCTATCCAATGCAGTGTTCTGCACTCCGCAAGAATGGCTTTGTGGTGCTGAAGGGACGTCCTTGCAAGATTGTGGAAATGTCAACTTCCAAAACTGGGAAGCATGGTCATGCAAAGGTAATCTCTTGGTAGACCTTCCTTGATTTCTGTTCTGGTACACAAATATTGCCCTTCCATGACTACTAGCTTATTAAAATGAAGCATTGCATCAGTTGTGCTAGATACAGGACTAGCATTGGATAAGTTGTCACTACTTGTCTTTTTCCGCATTGCAAACTAGTTGGGGGTTCCTATGTACTGTTTCTGAGCTCAGTAGCCTCCTGTGGGAAGAAATGGATGATCTGTGTACCAGTGCTGGAGATGGTTCTTCCTGGAAGGTGCTCCTTTTGTTCTGGATGGAATTACCTTTTCCCAGAAGGAGCCGGTTTGTAGTTTGAGAGCCAGTGTGGTGCAGTGGTTAAGAGCACAAGACTGGGACTCAGGCAGTCTGGATTCTAATCCCTGCTCAGCTGTGGAGCCATTGGGTGACTTCGGGCCTGTTGCAGGCTCTCAGCCCAAGTATCTCACAGGGTTGTTGTTGCAAGGATGAGTTTGAAAGCAGGAGGAGTATTATGTAAGCTGCTTTGAGTTCTTTGTAAGGGGAAAAAAGCACAGCATATAAATCTAACATACAGCTTGGGGGATTTCCTGGAATCATTGGTGTCACTTGAGGCTTAGCTGACCTCAGTAGCCCAATGTGCCTATGTCCCCATATGGATCTGGATAACCTTACTTAAGTTATCTATGTTTTGGTAATTTACAAGTTAAATGACTGTAGTGTTGTCAAAGGTGCAGTAGTTTTTGAAGACAGTATTGTAGCTTGTGTTAACACAACAGCCAAATAGCAGAGACCAGAAGGTCTGAATATATAAAAACAATGTTGGCTTGCTTCCATTGGCTGCACATTTCTTTCCAAGCTCAATTCAAGGTGCTGGTTGTAACTTAAAAAGCCATCAGTGAGTCAGGGCTGCAGTACTTGATGGAGTGCTATATTTGGTATAAACATATCCATATACCACAGTCAAATATCTGAGACCCCCCAAATGCCTTCTCTGAGGAAGAATTGGAAGATGGCAACATGGTGCTGACCCTCCCATTTGTGTGATGATATCCCCAGTGAGAACCACCTGATACCAACCCTATTCTGTTTTTTGTGCCATGTTAGAATTTCCTCTACGCCTGCACATTTGTAACAAATAAAATAAATATGTTGCTTGTAATGTTTGTGATTTTATCAGGCCCTGGCATTTACTGTTTCTAACTATTTAAACTTTTTGTATGTTGAAGGTTGTATATTTTATTTTTCATATTGTGTATTGGGTTTTCTGAATTGCCCAGAGTGTTTTGATTATTGTATGAATAATGAATTAATGGAGTAAATACTGAACACATAATATATCAACAGGTGTTTAACTTATATGCTGCCCCAAATAGTACAGCAGTACCAGAATGTTCTATGAAATTCCAAAGTGGCACACAGTTGCAATTCAAGCATTGCATTCTAATTCCCTAAAATGTGGTTTGGAAGATTGCTCTCATTTTACCTGGTTTGTGATTACCGTATTTATAAGTCAGGAAATAAAAGAGGGGATGAACAGTTTGATCTTCCAAACCCAAAGAGGGCTGGAATAATTCTGGATTGAGGTGGTAAATCCAAACTTAAAGGTCCAGTTTAATTGAAGAAAATGTGAGGTAGTTTGAACAAACTTCTCTGGAGCTTGTGGAATGAATCCTATCATATGTGTAAGTTTAGAACCGCTGTCCTACACAGGTAAGATCTTGATAGTTCTCTTACAGATAACCATCTTAACAGAATAATTCTTAAAGGGGAGAATATATACACCTGGCTTGGATATGTGTAGTTAGCATTTAAATTTATTGATCTTTGGAAGCTTCTTGCATCTAAACTTTTATCATACACAATTAGATGGTGAATTGTCCAAGGTCATACAGTGAATTTTAGATTAAGTTCCCTGCTTAACCATTTGCCTTACACAGAAGCATAACAGTCTGTTGGACTACATTTGGACTACATGCATTGTCCTGTGTTTTATGAAAAGAATTTGAGACTTGCTCATAGGTTTGATCCACTGAGATGGCAAGTAACAAGGAGTGTATTCAGCTGGAGGCCTTGTGTATGACCCATACATTTCATCAGTAGTAACCATGGAAATAGACATCTTTCCTTAATTCAGACTATGTTCTGGTTTTAGTGTTTTTGTGGCCATTTTAGTTAATTACCACTAATTGGTCTTTTAATTGAAAACAAATCTGAAGCAACATGACAGACATAAAACTGTGATTTGAATATAATATTCCTGGTATCCTGTGTATGATTGTGAATTTTCTCCTAGGTCCACCTTGTTGGCATTGATGTCTTCACTGGCAAAAAATATGAAGATATTTGCCCTTCTACACACAACATGGATGTTCCAAACATCAAGAGGAATGACTATCAAGTAAGTATACATTTGAGTCTGGATCAGTGGTGGAAATTTCTGGCACTCTAACTGTTGTCAAATTCTGTCATCTCTAGCTATTGGCAGTGTTGGTTGGGTTGATGGGGGTTGGCCTGCCCCCTTTTGAGACAACCTAGATTTTTAAGTCTAAGCATAACCTCGTTCCTTAGAACAAGCCACAATTCCTTTATTTGCATTTCATTACTTTGGTTACCTAAGGACACATTTTAACAAACTGAAGGTGTCAGACTACCCCCCCCCGACTCTTACTCCTTAAGAATCTTCCTGTGATACCCCATTGTCAGTCAGATACAGTATCAACAGCCATCAAAGGGCCTCATTATTTTAGATTATTACCCCACTCATTTAATTGCAATTTGCATTTCCTTTAATCTGATATTAAAGCAGACATAAATATACATTATAACAAATCATACTTTGTTTTCCTTCTCCTGCTGGGTTTCAGCCAACCCCAGCCATTCTACTTGTCTCTAGGCTGTAGTGTCGAGCTTGTGTTAGACCAACTAAAAACATTGCTATATTGCCTTTCCTGTGTGTGATACTTCTGTGTAGTTCCTTGAAAGGGATACTGTAAAGTGTTATCAGTATTCCTAGCAGTATTAGCTTCATTCCATACATATACATTCAAGGCATTTCTATAGCGTTTGATTTGAGGAGCTTTCAGAATGGTGTACAGAAATAGTTGAGTCGTGGTTTACATTGAATGGGTCTTGAGCTCAAAACTAGCATCTTTAGGTAACTGTTAAGAATTGTCATGCCAGTTAAGAATCTAATCAAGATCGCCTTATATAAATTCTTGCAGCTGATCTGTATACAGGATGGGTATCTCTCCTTGCTGACCGAAAGTGGTGAAGTTCGTGAGGATCTGAAGGTGCCAGAAGGTGAACTAGGGAAAGAAATAGAGGGAAAATACAATGCAGGAGAAGATTTCCAGGTAAAACCTTAGTTGATTAAAGATTCCAAAAACTATTTTTAGTTGACATGCAACTATTTTGAAAATATTTTTTCTGTCCTGTACTTTTTCTGCTGCCAAAAGTTGATCTAAATAAAACCCTGCTATAACCTCTTATACATTAGGCTTATTTCTTGTAACATATGCTCAGTGCATGAATAGTCAAGTAGTTGGAAGCAAGCTGTAGGTGCAAGTCTGTCATGTTCTATAGTTTAAGCATGAATTGGAGATGTAGCTAGGAAAGCTCAAGATCCTGTCTTTAATATTCAGTTGCTTAAAAAGACACAGCTCTGACCTTCTTTTAAGATCCAGTGACCTGATTTGCTTAATCAAACAGTCCACCATGACTTATGCAGTCTGTGGCAAGCAGGATTTGTAGATTCATCACCCAGCCTCAGTTTACCATAATACGGGAACCCCTGGGCTATGGTTTATATGCCACGGTGTAACCCATTGTGCTCAGGTTTATACGACACAACAAGTTATGGCCAGGTGTTGAATATTCAGATTGTACACTCACTGATTGGCCAAACCAGCCCATTGGCAGAATTGAAAGGTGGGTTGGAGATGGCAGATGCAACCCTATACCATTTTTTATAATGGGGCTGAGTGTAGAGTGTTCCACTTCTTACAGAGGTAAAATAACCACATGGAAATGTTATACTCCGAGTTCCACAAATGACAAAACTAGGTTGTCCAGATAAGAATTTTAAAACCACATTCTTCAGCAGTTTTTATTTAAAATACCTAGACAATTTTCCTATTTTCAGCTCCTGATAATAGCAATGCTACTAGGTAGCTGTGTACTGAACTCAAGCTACTCTGCTGGAGCCTGAGTTAAGTGGGGGCAGTATAATAAGCTATCTTGGCTATTTGTTGAATGAGGAAATAGAAATACTGGTCACCGAACTCAAGTAGCTCTTAGCTGTATTTGTTGCCAACTTAATCTAACATAGCTGACTTGTATAACAATTTTCTTTGCTTTTTCCCCCTCTTGTAGGTGTCAGTCATGAGTGCAATGAGTGAAGAATGTGCTGTAGCCATAAAACCTTGCAAATAGGACCATCTGGATTTGAGCAGTTGCTCAGGTCCCAGCAATTGCAGATCTTGTATTTTAGTTCTGATATCACCAAAGCTATAACCTTCACTAGCAACCTCGTGTCTTTGTTTGAAAATAGTGCTGACTAATGTTGCAAGCAGTTTGGCAATATGAAATTGCTGGAGTTCAAGTGCTTACAGGAATGGCAAGGCCGTCAAAACTGTCATTTTAGATCATGAGGTATTAAAAACTAGTATGCTTTGCTTGAATGAGACTGTATAGCAGTGCCAATACCAAGGTAGTACTAAATTTGTGTTTAAATAACAAATAGAATTTAAGTATAATATTTTAAATAAATGAAAATACCAATTTTTATCTTAAACATGGTAAAATGTGGCTTGCACTGAACAGTGAATAAACATTGAGTCTAGGGACAAGGGAACTCATGTGATCAAAATGCCAGTGCTGATAGCCACCGTGGGAAATAAATTGGATCTCTGTAGTCTTGCTGGCTCACTCTTAACATGTCACCATTTGCCTGTGATGCAAACATCCAGATTATTGGATGCTTTCATACTCTGGCTAATAGTGCACAAAAGCACGAGGCGGGGGGGGAGGTGGAGGGAGATTCACTAGAGGCCTTTGATTTCAGTGTGGAGTTCAGCCGCTCTTATTTAAAAAAGGGAATGCCTCAAGTGTTTCAGTATTAGGCATACTTGTTTTGGATTTTAATTCCTTAGTTTTGTAACACAAGTAGACTTTTTGACGACTTAGGAATTGGAGCAGAAGTGCACATACTGACAGCTTGTATGGAGGCTACATTTGAACCTTGATTCACCCAACAGAATTTTGGCCATGGCTTGTCTAATATTGTAATGAACTATGACATGGGAACATGTTATGCATTATAGTGTTGGTAATTTAGAATATACTTGTGTAAGACTTGGTTACACTAAACGGGCAAATGCCTAAGCACTAATAGACATACTCTCTGCGTGATCTTCTGCTTAGCTAACATTTGGGGGAAACCTAATTACTTAAATTTGCCTTAAATGTTGGTAGCAACTGACAACTTGAACTAGTGACTGGGTTCTTAAACATGTTTAGTTCATTACTGGCAGCTTTTTGGGGATGTGGAAAGAGGATTTTGAGCTTCAGTTGGGAATATGGTTGCCCATAATCAGTGAAGTTAGACTAGAAGTGTAAATAAAGCGTATCAGGGTCTTGCAAGTATCTATGCAGAGAAGGATACAATGCAGATTGGTTTGGCAATAAATACTTTTGAACAAAGCACAGTCTTGATAGAGTGGTATGTAACTAGATGTTTTGAGATCTAGCTACTAGGAAACTGAAGGATTTTAGCACATTGTTAGTCTTATCATGTGAGTTGATTCTCAATATTCATGTAGGAGTGGGAAGTCCCAGTTTGAAACATTGACTCCATTAGTTAGTATCACTAGTCATGTTCACATGTCCTACAGCCATCTATTGTGCCTGAGCAGCTGAGAGAAGCACTGGTGGTACAGAATCGGAAGAGACCTGCTAACATCTCACTGCTTGCATCCTCTCAAGGATGTACACACTTAAAATGTCTGGGCGGCCAGCTTAAGGGAATGTATTCTGGAGAACCTTTGGGAAAGGTGAGGTCTTAATTTCAACTTGACTTTTGGTGATTTGGAACCACAGGATATTGGGACTAGATGGGAAAAATAGCATTTGCTGGATAGGTCAGTTGTAGGGTACTGTTTGACGCACTGTTGTGCAATCTCATTTCACTAGTAAAACTACAGTATTTTCAATAGGACAATAGCAAAGCCATTTCACTTGTAGAGTGCAATCTGTCTACAGACCCACCAAGTTTACAGTAGTTTTAACTTTGCTAATACAAGCTTAATGCTGTATATTTCAGGTTCTTTAAGCTATTTCAGGGTGATCACGTTTCTCTAAATCCACTTTTAAATAGTTCTTCATGGCTGGAACAAACACATTTCCTTCTCAAGGGCAGGCTCATACTCTAACAAGCTGTAGGCCAGGTTGAAGGCTGAACAACTCAATCCTGCTGTTACTTTGTAAGGGTGCAAGCTTCCTGGATTGGGGTTCATCCATGTTCTTGTTTGGTGTGCTGTAGGTTCTCTTGCCTCAAATGTTAGGGAATTCTTTTTTTAAACAACCCAAATTTACCTCTTGATGTATTGTCTTGCGTCTTTGTGTTCAACAAAACCACTGCTAGTTGAGCCATGACTTGAATATACTCTTCTCAGGGCTGCTCTTGTGAAGAATTGAAAGAGCTTAAGTTGATTATTTTAACAAAGCTGCTTGAAAGTCTTACAGGGTTTTGTATTCCATAAATTTATAGCATGCTTATGATGCAAGTAGAGTTCTAGTATATCAAACCTAGTCTAAAGGAGTCAGACATTGTGACCAAGCTATTCTAGAGACTACATGACATATTTGATTGCAGTAAGCTTTAAGTGTTGGAATGTTGGCTGTGTCTGAAAACTTCAATAGAACAAGCTGTGCTTAAATATTTCTTTATATAGTACAAGATTCTCATTTGTTATATTTTAATCAGTGTTTTACACAGTAAAACTCAGGCACAAACTCAGGATCTGTGTCTGACAAGAGTATCTAGGCCTTGTAGAACTCTGAACTCTCAATCAGTGACTGTTACATCAAAAACTGGACATATTGTTGTAAACAAAATGTGCAGAGAAGGGTTTTTTTGTATTTACTAAATATGGAAGTTCAGACAAGTATGCAATATACCTACTGGCTAGTGAATGGATGCAGTGTTCATTGTACAAGAGTGACCTTGACTTTAAAAGCATAACTTGAAAGGTTTGTACTTTTTCTGCATCTCTGTTATAGTGAAGTATTCATGTGTTAAGAGTTTTTGGCTTTTAATGACTTTTATTGAAACATTTGAATTATAATTTGGGTCATAGTAATGAGAATAAAGTTTAAACTTAAAGGTTGTTCTTCGTACTTTATTGCCTCCAACTGCACAGGTATAAATGTTCCTACTCTTACAAATGGTGAAGGTGGGGAGGATATTTGGTTTCTTCACCATGTGCTAACAGGGCCCCACTGTTTAGCATGGAACTTAATTACTATACATTCAGTGATCACTCTGACTGTCTCTTCAGAAGGAATGTTATGGGGAGTTATGTAGCTACAATGTGAAATTGAATAAATAATATGCTGAGAAAGGAGTGGCATTTTACATTCTATTACCACTATGCTTAGAAAGAGATTCATTTACAACTTCCTTTATTGCCTGTTATGCTGGAGGCAGTTTAGGAGAGATGGAGAAAACTTGACCAAGTTTTTGTAGACTTAATGATCATATTTGGTAGAGAACAGAGGTTTTGGGGTGACACTTGAGTAGCTTCTTGAGTGGGTTCTACCCTTAAAGATGGCCCAAAAGTTATTAAAAATGAAACTAACATACCTCTGGGCCCACAAAAACTAATCCTGAAGTTCACTGGTCATTTCAGGATAAGTGTAAGAGGATCTTTTGCACACACCAGTGAATCCAAAAAAGCCAAATAGTGGAAGAATTGGTAACTATCTTCAGTACAAATGTAACACTTTAGGAACAATTGAATCCAAAATACCGCTCTATCTCCTGGCCCTGCAAAATGTTAGAGCTTCAGCAGGCAACTTGGGTGCCCTCCAGCTGTTCTGAACTACAACCCTCTCTTGTAATTTCAGGGAGCATAGCAGATGACAAAAATCCCTTGCTATTAGCCATGCCGGCTGGGACTGATGGGGGTTCTAATCCAAAAGATCTGCCAAGGCCAGGTTGTCTTACGCTGAAGCGCTTGCACCCCAGCCTGTTGTGCTGTTTTTGCACAGATTTCTTTCATCTTCCTTGTCTCGGCACGTGGGGAAACCTAAGATCTATCAGAACAGGAAGTTTTTCGCAGAAACCCATTGAATTTTGGCCACGTGGGCAGAAGAACCGCTGTCTGAAACATAGAGATACATAAGATACGTTATGAAACATAAGATACGGAGAGTCCATAGCAAAAATACAGTTGCCTGTATCGAAGCTTGCAGCCAACTAGCCAGCTGTATTCATGGCTGGTGGACGCTATTAGCTGTAGCTATTGGGAGACGTAGAAATGGTGTGGATAATAATCGTAGACAACAGCTGGGAGGCTCCAGTTTGGGAAAGGCTATGGCAGTTTCAGGATCTAGCCAGGGAGATACGGAAACGTTAGGTTTTTTTTCGAAACAAACTGACTAGGAAATCTTACTGGACTGCAATCTACTAGGCAGGCTGCTGCCCGTCGGCAAGTAAAGGCTAGCAGCATGTTCCTTCGAATTTTGGTCCAATTTCATGTGCATTTTTAAAGATTTGATTTTAAATAAATAGGCTTCTAATGACCTCCTTATCGCTCATCATGCGGTAGGTGGAAGTGAACAACGGTCGAGCGTGGTTGACGACAGCCCTACAATGTAGCCCGTCACTGAACAGATGGAAGGCTCTACGTCCCTCCTTCACAACCTCCTCAGGTGCCTGCAAAGGTTCTGCCTTTTTAAATTGCCCCCAGACTACCCCAATCCAAATCACGATAAAAGCCCTGCGCTCCGTTGACTATTAAATATATAAAGACGCACTGCCAGGCATGTTTAGACAGATAAAAACGGCCTACAACTCTCAACAAACGGCGTTGTAGGACTTTTTTATTTTTGTTGCGAGGCCTTAAACACTCCTAGAATTGCGTCTCTAAACCTATTTTTAAGCCCCCTCAGACGTAAGAGCCGGGTTAGAGAGAGCATGGAAGAGTTCTGTTTCACTCAGCTCAGATTGCACTGGAGACGGTAAAGCAACACTACGGTCAGCGCTCCTCCAGTTGGCTCGCCCCTCGCATCGCCTCCGTTTGCAATTATGCCCGCGAGCGCCTCCAGGGCAGAAAGGTTCTACCCGGGTCTTAAACTGGAAGCCTTCCAAAACAGTACCGGAAATTTGGAGCGCTCCAGTCCCTTCTACTTTTTCGTCTCTCTATGCTGACTTCCCTCGCCGGTGCGTCCTACGTCGTGCGCCATTGCGTCAGAGGCGGGTGGCTATAAAAGCTGGGCGGCGAGCGTGCGTCCTCCTTTTGAGAGGCTTCTCCGTCATGGGGCCGGTGAGTTGCCTTGCTGGTCGGCAGCCGCTGGGGGCAACGCGCTGCTCGTGCGCGGAGAGGTGGTCGCCCCGGCCGATCACTCTCTTTGCTCGCTTGTTTCCGTCGCCTTGTGCTGGCCGTGAGGCTGGTGACTCTGGAGCGCTTTAAAGCGACGCGGCCTAGAACTCGGGGTCCGATTGGAGCGGGGAGGGGCCGCCTCTAGTTTTTCCTACCTCGCAAGCGTGTTGTGTGAGGCTGGAGTTGCGATCCTGCGCACACGTAGCCGGAAATAAGCGCCATGGTTTCCCCTGGTCCCTTATTTGAGTTCTTTCTGAGGGGAAACGGGGAAAGGAGAGGGGAGTGGCCCAAATACTATTTATTTCATAACAGGTGTAATGTTTTATAACAACTTGGCATGCAAAGCTGCATTTTCCTCAGAGGTGTATTAAGAAATAAGGCTTCTGCCGTATAGGTACTATTGAGGTCCAATAAATAGGCCTGTAAAAAAGATAACCAAGAGACTCAGGGTGGCAAATTCACATTCACTCACAGGTCTATTTACTGGAATGTAAAGGCATTGCCCAGTGCAGCTGCTTGAGATCTTCAGAAAGGGAAAAGGATGGGGAATGTGGTCCAAATGCTTGAGCCTCAAATAGGTCTATTTAGAGGGAGTCTTTATTTACTATGGGAAAACATGGATTTGCCTTCAAGTTCCCTAGAGAAAATGACATGTATCATTATGAATAAGTGCAAGCAGCACTTTGACCATGCACTGCATCCCTTTCCTTTTTTGAAGACTGGCCCACTGCTAACTCACAGTTCTATCATAGGGTCAGGCAGAGGCTTTGTCAGCAGAGCACTTTTTCCAGCATGTTCATGCAGTGATGAGAAAAGCTGTTTATGCCTGGCAGTTCTACTGGCTGTGGTGCTGATAAAAGATGCAGGAGCTCTGCCAAGATAAACATGACTTTTCTTGCTCACATCCAGATTGCTCCAGCATTTGTGGTGTAGAATGATCTGCCTTATCGTTAAAACCACCCTCATTGAAACAACCACAGCTGCTTTGCACTAGGGTTGTCTTTTGGTCTGTATGGCTAAGGGATTTCTACAGACATTGGTCCACCTAAAACTGGGACAAGCCCCACTGGTGGTCTCCAACCTAGAGTTTAAGAAACATCTTGTTAGATATTTAGGCTTTAGACATACTGACCTGGTTTGCGCATAACAGCGCATGGTTTGTTTAACCCGTGTATTATGGGCATGTAGGAATGAGCATGCCACCTTCCAGATTAGCAAACAACCCAGGAATGTCTTGTTGAGCCATTCGAGAAGGAATACCAACCATCCAAAGCCTTAACCCCCCTCCCACAATAAATTAACACAGCCCTAACAATTCATGGATGTGAGTCAGGACAATACTGAACTAAAGTCATAAGCATTAACTTCAGGGGTGTGTTTTGTTTTCTTTTAGCGAAAAGATATGAAACTGAAGAAATCAAGTTTCAAGTATAACCTCGATCTTACCCATCCTGTAGAAGATGGGATATTTGATTCAGCAAACTTTGTAAGTTGTTTTGCTGTTCACATTTTATGATGCTGTTTTAAACCCAATCTAATTCTTGAGAATTATTATGGAAAGAAAGCGGGGGCACATTTTTCATTAACTGTAATAAAATAGTTGGACATCAGTGAAGCCATCCTATGGGATAAGAGTCCATAATCTGACCAGTGTGTCAAGAGCGAGTGTGTAGTGATTAAAGTATTGGACTAAGGCTCAGGAGATCCAGGTACTAGGCTCCACTCAGCCACGAAAGATCACTTGGTGATTTTGGGCTAATCACTGACTACTTCATAGGATTATTGTGAGGATAAAATGGAGAGCAAGCGAATGCTCTGTGTTGGGTTCTTTATAAGGAAGAAAGATGGGTTATAAACATGATGTGATAATACCACTCTAAATCCGGCCCCATCCATGAATCATCTGCTTCTGCCTACCTGCAGTTCTCAGTGTTGAACTAGGAGACTGACAAGTTACAGACCTGGATTGAATAATTTCTTGTCCTGGGTTACTGACACTTAGTTACACAAATATGCAAGGATATAATTTCAAATTATTTTTGATGTAATTTAAAGATCACATCAGGTCTGTTCCATGGGTTGAACTTTATTGATAGGAACATTGTTTCTGTATTATTTGGCTATATTTCATGTTCTTGCTTCTTGCATGATTTAATTACATTCTGTGACTGTAATAACACTGATTGTTTGGCTAGGGTTCCTTCCCTAGTTCCATGCCTAGGGCACCATTCCCTAGTGTTGCACTTCTGTTTTTTGTTGGATTAGGAACAGTTTCTGAAGGAAAAAGTTAAAGTCAATGGAAAAACAGGAAACCTGGGAAATGTAGTTCACATTGAACGCTTTAAGAACAAGATCACAGTGACATCTGAACGGCAGTTCTCAAAAAGGTGGGTGTGTTTTATACTGCATCTTTTCCTCTGTTTTTAGCCTGATCCTGAAGGCTCAGAGTGGGGAACAGTACACTGAAATATACTTAAATGGATTAGCAGTTTTGCTGCCTTATTAAACCAGGGCCCCTCCAGATGTTTTGGACTACAACTTCCATGTTGCTAGGGGAGGCTGCCTTAGTGTAAAAGGCTCCTGTTTGTGTAAGTCAGGACACCCGTTTTCCCCCCAGTTCATAACTTCTTATCCATTTTAACTCCTTGTCCTCTCTGAAAAACTACTCTTGTGGGTTGGGTGGGAAATGCTTTGGAACCGAATGTGAATGCCCAGAATGGAAGAGCAGAAAAAGATTAGGTACCCCAACTTGCACTGCTTGAACTGGGATTGGGCAACCTCTGTGGCCCTTCATATGTTAGATGACCACCAGCCATCCTAGCAAGGCTGATGAAAGCTGGCTACACATCGCCCACCCCTCCAGTAGACAAAGCCCCTGCTGAAAACAGACCTATGTGACTGTAGCTACTTAATCTGTTTACCTGAAATACCTGGATTTACTGCTGTTGATCTGCATTGCCCTTAAGGTGTGTTGTGTCTGAAGGTTTGATAAATGTGTCCCTCTCAATTGGCATCCACAGGCTATTGCCAGTTACCTTCCGAAATGGAATTAGACTCCTAGAGAACAAAAGAGGGGGTAGTGCTGTTACATGGTAGTAAACTGAGGCAATTTACCTGTAGCTAGCAGTTTGAATTATTTGAAAGAAACTTAATTGGTCTGACTTGCCAACTATATTTGCTTAGGGTTGGAGTTTTGGAGAGCCTTCTTAAGACATTCTGACAATCTGTGGACTAACTTTCAGCTAGAGTATTAGATTGGGATTCAGTCCCCATCAGCCACAAAGCTCCCTGGGTGCCTTTGGGCCAGTCACGGACTCTTAGCCCATATAACTTTACAGGGTTGTTGTGAGGATAAAATGGAGAGGAGGAAAACCATGTGAGTTGTCTTGGGTTCTTTGTGGTTTGCATTGACATTATAAATGTAATGTTATATTAATGTTAAGAACAACACTATGCATCATTCTATCTGATGTAGCAATAACATTCATATTTGAAAAAGTTCTGTAGCATTCTTGGTGATCCTTACAGCAATTCAGTAAGGCCTGTTTATTCCCGTATAGCTGATAGGGGCTGAGATGAAAGTGGCCATCAGACGTATGGGGGCTTTGGCTCACAGTTTATGTGCACGGCTAGACTAGGCCAGGATGGGTCAGCAACTCAATAGATGCTAGCATCTTCTGAGAATGTCTGTCTTTTATCTTTGTGAATGGCTTAGAGGATATTACACCCTTAAATCACTTCCTTTGTGTGTTAAAGGTACCTTAAGTATCTCACAAAAAAGTACCTCAAAAAGAACAATCTCCGTGACTGGCTGCGTGTGGTTGCCTCAGACAAGGAGACCTACGAACTGCGGTATTTCCAGATCAGCCATGAAGACGAAGAGTCTGAAACAGAAGAATAAAATGAGCTTTCATGAAGATCGTTACTTAACTTGACAAGCAGAGTGTGCAAAGAAGCCATCTATTTATGAGACTGTTTAACTTATTACCAAATTTTACAAGTTGTACACTGACTTTTAGATCTATGTGGGCAGCCAAGATGTGATGCACTTCAAAATTTGCATTAAAAAGCTATCCTGATGTACTGTAAGATGTAATTCTCTTGTGAAATGGAGTTGGAGAGTGTGTGTGTGTGTTTCAGGTTACTTTTATGCAAAATCGTTCCACAGTAATATATTCATGCTCAATTTATGCATTCCAGTAATATATGTGACACACCAGTCCTCAAAGACAGTTTAACTGTCCACCTTTCTTAATGTTTAAGTATGGCTCTGTTTCAGGATTTCATTGTAGTGGTAAAAGAAAAGCTAAATGGTGAAATCTGCTAGTAAGACTGATGTGTGTATTTAAAGAGTGCCTGGCTTAGGCTGTTCATTGGAAGCAAATTAAACTTCCAGTTCTATATCTCTGTTAATGCAAGAGTTTTCTGTGATTCTCTGTTTGACAGGTTAATTTTTTCCTCTCCCTAGTCCCAGAAAGTACTTAATTGCTAGTGTTGCAGTTATTTTTGCTGCCATTTCACTCTTGCAAATGGCGATTCTTTGCAAACTCGTGGTTTAGGTTGTTTACTTGGCATACTCCATATATGCCCGCCCGCCCTTTGAGATCAGCGGGAGAGGCCCTTCTCCGGGAACCCTCTGTGAAGGAAATTAGGAGGGTAAGTACTCGGAGGAGGGCTTTCTCTGGCGCCCAATCTATGGAATGCACTTCCCAGAGAGGTCTGCCTGGCGCCGTCGTTATTTTTCGGTGCCAGGCGAAGACCTTTTTATTCAAATGTTATTTTAATTAATATTTATTCATTTTATTTTTTGGCCAGGGGGACTTAATTTATATTGTTTTATTGAATTCTATTTATGGTTTGTGAGCCACCCCGAGGCTTCAGCGAATGGGGCGGCATAGAAGTCCCCTAAATAAATAAATAAAAATAACTCCAGATGGCTTACAAGCATCTCCCAGACCTGGATCCTGCTTTGATTTTGCAAGACTTTAAGCATTATGTGCCTTGACATTCTCGTATTGATTTAAAAACAAAAACAGCCCTCACTAATAACACCCCTTCATATAAAATACTTAAATAAAAAAGCCAAGCAATAGTCTTGAGGACTGTGAAAGGCTGTAGCAAAATAAAACTGTAGTAACATGAATAAGCTTTGTTGAAATAAAGCTTTCTGCCTGCCTGCTGTGAAGAGCCGAGTATCTTCATGATAGGGTTTCATAGCCAAAAAATCGCCCCATCAAGCTAGCCTGTCTGCCATGTTTTCGGTTTGGGAGGGGGCAGGCTGTTGGCCCAAAACAGCTTCTGAACAGCCATGATACCTGACTAGAGGATGGTGATTCATGCAATGGTGACTTAGCAACCTGAAATGAGTGATCGCATTAATTCCTGGAAGGAGGAAGGTCAGTGGAGCTTACACATAAGGGAGCTATGCTGACGTGCCTCTTCCTCAATATGGATTGTTCTTCCAGGAAGTGCTAAATCTCCTTGGTTCCTGCTTGTGCAACAGAATTGGGAGGTACTAATTGTGGGAGAAAATTGTAGAAGTGTAACAAGTGCTGAGGCATAATTACATGTCCAATAGTGTCTCTAGTCTTCTGGTATCCAGATGATATCAGACGAATTTTTGTACTGGTTATGCATGTGGAATTCTGGGAAAGTGCCATAGATCCGGCACCCAATAGCTGCAACAGTGACTGACTGACTAAAGAATCTTCATTTCATAGAAAAGCAAATTAGAAGCTGCAAGGGGCAAGTTACATGACTAAGGTGGAGGTGGGGTTGACCCTACAGCTTTTATCTCCAAATGTCAAAAGGAAATCGATGAGGCCAAAAGACAACTTGCCCAAATCCTGGATACTTTGCAGAAGGTGGGGGTCAACCCCATGCCCATGGTTCCTCAGTTACTTAATTTAGAAGTCTCCCACTTACTTCCTTTCCCTGACCCTGTGCTCTAGCAAACAAGATCTGTGCACCACTGGCAGGATCAGTTAAGTGAATGATCCCCTCCTCCCATCTCTCCTCCACTGCCCCACCTCTCATAATGCCCTGCACACTCCCAGTGCCCTCTGTGTCCTTCCACTCCGTCTCGGTGCCCACTGGCATGGCTGTCGTCATCTCCTCACCCCAAGCTCTATACTCCCAGAAGCATGCAATAAATCCTAGGCCTGCTTGGATACCTCTCAGGAACGACGGAATTGCAGCTTTATGGGGTCATGATTGGAGATGCTTAACTGCTATAATATACTACCTGCTTTCTGTGGATGATAATCTGCTTCTAGCTTCAGCTGGGCCCAACTTATCTGGCAGCAGACAGGCATGTTGTCCCTCATTTACTGTTCAATGGTTTGTGTGCACAGAGGACACAGTGACAAAAACAAGGCACGATTTGATGGCTTCTCAGAATGCTAATTAAACTAGCAGCTTTAGGATGCTTCGGGTTAGATCTTACACCTTCTGTTCTAACAAGCAATAAAGGTACGTCTTCGAAAGGGCAGGTACCCATCAGCCCAGTATGCCAGCCCTTAAAATAGAACTGATAATATTTTCAACAACTAGGTCAGTGGTGGACAAATTGTCGCTCATGACTTGTGTATTGCCCTTGTGTTGCATCAGCCAAATTTCAGAATCCCTTTTCCTGTGCTCAGTTCAAAGGTGTGAGTGTGAGAGGGAGAGAGGAAAAAGAGGGGATCAAGGGGTGACCCACCTGCTTTGGACTCTGGTATTCTCCATCCCTGAACTAGACAGTGCAGGAAAAAGGGTTTGTTGCACGTGATTCTGTCTTGTGTAGTGGTGCCAAGGCGTTGAGTAGCCGTTTTGCTCAGTGGCACTAAGATCAGCAGTATGCGAGGGCTCAGATGGCGATTTCATCTAGTCCAGCCTTCTGTTCGCAGTGGCCACCCAGCTGCCCCAGCCTTCTACCCACACTGCTCAGCAACAGGGATGGGTGGGCAAACTGCCTCTGATATGAAACACGATGCACACTCTAGTAGGTAGCCTTATTCTCAATTATTTTTTCTAAATTCTTAAAAAAGACATTCATATTGGTGGCTGGTACTATATTTTGTGGTAGCAAATGTCCTATTATGTGGTAGGAAATTTTTGTATGTATTGTGTGAAGATGTACTTTTATCAGCTTCATGGGAGGACTCTGGGATCTAGTATTACTTTCTCTAAACCGTATGTAATTGCTGTACATGTTTCCTTTCATTCTCCTCTTTTCCAAACTGAATGATCCCAGCTGTTGGAACCTTTCAGCTCCAGCCCCTTGATCATTTGGGTTGCCCATTTCTGCACCAGTTCCAATTCTGTGATAGCCGTTTCAAGGTGTGGGCTCCAGTAACTTACCAGCTGTCCTAGTGGACAGATGTGTGTGACTGCTGGCAAAGCATCGGCTGCCACACATAGCCACAGGGGGGAGCTCTAAATCACATTGTTCAAGGAAGCGGCAGACAGTGTGGGTTTCTCTAGGCTCGATGGAGTTTTCCTCCTCCCGCCTGCCGCCCACCCAAAGGCCAAGAAGCAGAGCATGTTTCTAAGTGAGGAAGGAAAGCAACCCCTGAACCTGAATGCACTGTCTGGAAGGTCCAAGCACCATTTCTAGGTGGGAGGCAAGGTTGCTGGGGTTCCCTGGCACAGTCTTCCCTAGAAGCACCACCACTGGGAAGCTGAGGAAGTGCTCCATCCCTGAGTTTGGAGCCGAGCATGGGATGCTAATTTCTTCATGGACCAGAGACCCAGGTGCTACTGGGAAGCTGCACCTCCTTGCCTTCCACCGTAACATCATGGCAAGGGGAAGAACAACCTAGCCTCCTATATCAACCAAAGTACAAATAGCTGCAGTGAGTTTGCTTCATCCTTTGCTGTAAAGAGGAACACCTACACAGACTTTGCAACTAAGAACTGGGACCTGAACTTGCTTTAATCTTCCTCCCTCCTTTTTCTTGTTGCATCATGCATTTCAGACTGAAGGCAGGCATTATCTCATTAATTTTTGCAAGCTGCTCTGAGAGCTAAGAGTGGGGTAAAAATACTGTGAGGACACCATCTAAGGTGGCTGCCTGAATTTGGAGGATTTTAGGCATCCAACTGTGCATAGGAGGAGTGCAGAGGCAAAAAAACATGGATGACCAATTTTGGATGCCTGCATCTTCTACCCTTTCTTGTGAGGAGGAGGAGGAGGAGGAGGAGGAGGAGGAGGAGGGTGCTCCATGGTCAGGATCCCAGCCCTGTCTTTGAAACACATTTCTGAGGATGGAACTAGGACTTCAGCCTATCCTTGACAAGCATTTAAGCAGCCTTACAATTGCCCTCCAAATAGATAAGCAGAGTACAGTTAGTGGAGCTATCCTGCCTTTACAGCATATGCTACAATGCCCAAAATTGCTGTGGAGCCTGATCAAAGATGCATCAGACCCAAAACATCCACATTGGTGTATGCAGGACCTGCTCCCCTTTCGATCCTTAATATTCAGTGTCGTACCTCCCTGTGCATGCATGTGCCTGAGTTCTCGATCCTGAATGGTGATCTACTCGCATGTTTGCATATATGGCTTCTGACTGAATGCTCAAAGTTATCAGCAGAGATGCCCTGTTAGGGAATGTTTCCTCTTCCAATATCCTCAGGCTAAAAATGTATGTTTCTCTGGGTGTTCGCAGTTTGAAAAGTCAGCTTCACAAAACATAAAAGGTTGTCACCACTAGTCGGCTCTGTCACACCACTCTGCCTTCACTGGTGCCACTCATCTGGCAAACAGTGCGGAAAGCAGGCTTCAGCGGGGCCTCCGTGTCTGACATGATGTGTGTGATTTAAAAACCCAGGCAAGCAAACGCATTTCTATCCCTCCTGGTTTGTTTTTACCCCTTAAAAAAGACTTTGGCTTAGGATATGCTGAACACAACTTCAGCAGAGAGAGAGAGAGAGAGCAAGAGAGTTTGAATGTAAGAACAGACGTGCGTCACATCACATAAGAAAAGACAGTCGGGCAATACCTGTTATACCTTTAATGAAAGACCTCTTACCTTATAATAAGACCAGCTGCGATGTGACAAAACAGGGAGGGAATTTTTGGCCTCATCTTAAAACTAGA